AAAATTATGAGATTATTTAACGTGATTATAATTTTTATTTGTTTCAATATCATCCTTATAAATATTTTCATAAGTAATTGTTCATTTATAACTTAATAAGTTTAATGGTCTTGATGACTTATTCATTCAGCCATACGCATTAAGAGATAATTATTAACAATCCTACTATGTCAAATTGTCAATGCCAAGAATCTTATTCGATAAGATAAGTGAAGGTGATGACTCTTACCATATTAATTTTAATAAACAACCCTTAATAATAAATAAAGTTCTAACAAATTGCAAACAATATTTTTTCTAGACCAATTTAACAAGTGATTAATTGAAGTGTACTTTTACAAATATTAATAGGGGCCACAAGATGCGCACTAACGTATCTAACTTAAGCTTCATCAGGTTTATGTTTTAGCATTGCCTTTAAATTTGACAAAAATATTTCGGTGTGTTTGTCTGTTTGGTATCCAAATAGATTAGAATAGGACAAGATAAGATATGATATGATAAAATAGAACATGATATAATAGTTGTTCAACATTTGGTAAGAAATAACTAATAAAAAGACTAATTTACCCCTGATGAGTTATTTATATATTATATGTTTTTTGATTAATTGTGTAATTGATTAAGTAACAAAATATAACATTAGAAAGTTTTTTGTCAACATGATTAAAATGATACCAAAATAAAAAAATTATGTAACTAGTTTCCAAATTTAATTTTACCGTCTCTATATTATTTTTTATTATTAATATTTAATAAATTACATAAATTAATTAAAATATAGAAACTGTATAAAAATAATATTTTTAGGACAGAAAAGTGAAAGTTTATAAAACATAAAATTAAAAAAAAATTAATAAAGTTTAAAAAAACGTATTTGATGTTTTAGAACATAATTAAATTTTATTTTGATGTTATGTTAATAAAAAATAAGTCTGTTCCAGCTTGTTCCATATGTGGGGGTGGAATAAGATTATTCTAATTTATTCCACTATGTTCCACATAAAGGTTCTGGCACACGTAGAACAACGATCCATTTTCGGTTTTGTCTTGTACAATATATCAAACACGTCCTTATAAATAAAAAAGGTTGTTTAATAATTTTAAAAAGAAATACTCTGCAGCTAACACACACACACGTACACCTTCTTTTGTTAACCGCATACTTAGCACACCTTCATTTACTTTGTTTATATTTTTTTAATAATCTCATTCACTTTCTAGTTCACCTATCAACTTTAGTAAACTTTTTGGAACAACCAATGTTCATACATGAAACAACGTTATGAACTTTAAACAAAAATCATTGTTTCACGTACGAATTTTTTGGTTTCACAGGGACAGATGAGAAAGTGGTGAAGATTATCTTCCAAAAAACATAATTACATTCCAAAAAAAATTGTTCCAAAATTGTCCTCCATTTAACTTAATTTAAATCTTTTTTTCCAATTTATAACATTTAATTTAATTATAACCGTTAATCAAAAAACATGAATGACTCATATGAGTTTGTAAAGTTAATATTATTACTTGGTTAACAAGTAGGGGTGGCAATTTTATACCAAACCAAACCAACCAACATGTGTATCAACCGTACCAATTAATTTGGTACAAACTTAATTGGTACTGATTATCGTACCAAGTACACAAACTTGGTTAGTCAACGACATTGAAAGTTGCATACCATGGTAGTACCAACTTATTTATTTTTTATCAGTTTTTTGTATTTTTATGTATTTGATATTAAACCTTCTAACTTTAATTATTATATTTGAACATTTGAATGTTTACAAGCTTTATTCTTTGCAGTTAATCCGTTAAACATCATATGTGTTACCTGTGAACTCAAAATTTCACTTAAATTTTGAAAAAACTTGGCAAGTTTTCATATGTAATGTGAAGTTGGTACAAACTCGGTAGCAACATGTACTAACTGTAAAAAGTTGGTACCAATTAAGACGGTACCATGTACAGTTGGTTGGTACACGGTATAGGATTTGGCGTACCAATTATAATTGGTTGGTATACAGTATTGGAGAAAAAAACTTGATACCATACCAAGTCCACGTCTATTAACAAATGATTGTACCTCTATATATGTATATATGTGTATGTATATGGGGAGATTTAATTGGATTCCGGTCGCCAACTTTGACCTTTAGACACCGTAAAATAGTGAAGGTTCAGATATACAGTGTGAATGTTTGGTGTGGTTTTCTTATTATTATTTGTTGTGTTATGTGAAAATTTATTTCTTTTATACGAAGATTTGATATTTTTATTATAATTATCTGTATTTTGTTGTGAAATTTTAGCAGAATAAACTTTTTTATTCAATATTTTAGCGTAAGTCATGAGTCTCATGAAACCTATAATCTTTACAGATTTCAATGTTTATAATAACATGTTCAAATCAAAACAAGAATAAAAATCCATTTGTAGCCATGAAGATTCAAATGCGGTGACTCCGGGCTATCTGCATAGCAGATGGTCGTCCTGAATCTAGTCGGCCCGTATAGCGGGTTGGATATCCAGGTTAATCAAAAAAAATTTTCATTACAAACTTCCAAAAATGTTTAATTTTCATATGAGTTGTGAGAAAAACGTGATGTTCGTTTGGACATCACCATAAATCAATTGGTTGAATATATACCATCTACGTAACGAAAATTGATAGAATTAGCCGGTTAACATATAAGGTTTCACATTTATTTTTTAGCCACGTAGAATGCTTACACATATGTGTAGGATTGATTTTCGACAAAAAGAAAAACATATGCACAAGGTTTCTAGGTAAGGATTTAAACTATTATCTGGTATATAGGAAAATCCTTATGTAGAAACCTTACACATATTTGTGAGGTTTCTTTTTGCCGAAAATCAATCATTATGTAAATATGTAAGTCTTCTGCGTAAGGATCGGTTAAAAAGTAAAATTGAGTTAAAAATGGTTAAAAATAAAACCACCTATCAACTTTCACTATTTTGTAAATTTCCCGGTATTTAAGCACAAATTGGTATGACTATTGGATTTCTTTAGATCCTAGTAATTTTTGCTAGATAAAATTTGGTTTGATTTACGTTTATGTATATCATATAATGATTTTCTAGAGTATATTCAGCCAAATATTTAATCACGGTTTTATAAAAAAACTAAAAGGGTACTCATGCAATGTAGCGAGATAAATCTTGATTTTAATATTTTATTTTATTCGTTATCTCAGTAGATATTATAATATGCTTTTATGTCATTTTGAAAAGGAGGTGATATTTTTTATTTTTGAATAAAATATAAAACTGAAGATATCATAAAATTTTGATAAAGGTATATATCGATATAAGTATCAAAATTAACTATTTAAAATTCATCATTTTTTTATTATAATTTAATTTAGGTTCAATAACGAAATAATTTATATTTGATTTAATAATATAATTTTCTTATAAAGATAATAATTAATTATTTTTTTAGAACTCGATAATTATCCTAATTATATTTTAGAATTTTTATATTTTTAAAATGAGATGTTTATCCTCTATTTGATTATGTTTATCCGCAGTTAGCTACATCAATTCAATCATGGAGCTTTAATAAGTAGTACTCATGCATAATTTACTTGTAATCTTGAATTTTAAGTAATATGCATCGATATACAGTACTCCATACATAAAAAATGATTTTTAAGAGTTTTTGTCAAATAATTTATAATATAGTACAGATTATCATACGTATATGAGAGAATGAGTGACTTTTAATATAAAAAAACACAGGAATTATTTGGCGTAAAATGCATCAAAATGAATCGATATATGGTTTTGGTCCATATATGTGATGAATAGTTTATTCTCTCAGCTGATGTAACAACTTTTTTATACTTATTTTGACTAATAATCTTTTGTTCATGTAATATTTGTTGACGTAAATAACCGTCTATAAAAGATTTCCAAAATGTTCATGAAAGGGTTACAACTAATGAGGGCAATAAAGTAGCCATTCATGTAATTAAACGTAACAAGGTTAACACTTTATGGATCATAATTTATACAAAATACTTCTTTTAGGGTACATTAAGTGTTTAGATATGATATGACAGAACATGACAGGATATGACATAACAATTGTTTAACTTTTGGTACGACATAAATGGAGATAACATAACAAGTAAAATAACCAATTTATTCCTAATGAGTTGTTTATATATTTTAATTAATTTATGCAGTTTATTAAATTATAATAGAATAATTATTTTTTACAACAAAATATTTCATTAAAAAGTTTTTGTCAAAACAATTAAAATGGCACAAAAATAAAAAGTTTATGTAGTGTCCAATTTTCTACTTTTATCCTTTTTTTACATTATTTTTTATTTATTAATATATAATAAGTTACATAAATTAATAAAAATATAGAAATCGTATAAGAATAATATTTTGAGAACAGTAAAACGAAAGTTTAAAAAAATTAAAATATAATAAATAAAATATTAAGTTTTATCTTGAAGTTGTATTGGTAAAATATAAGTCTTTGTACACCTTATTCCATGTTGTAGAGGTGAAACATGCATGTTCTACTTTATTCTCGTCCGTTTCACATAAAAGTCATGCGGAACATGGGATAAGGATCCATGTTTTGTTCTGTCACGTTTTGTCCAATATACCAAACGCACCATTATTAGTTAACTTGACGAAGAAGTATCGTGTGAGAATATGAGTTAAGTTGATAAGTTCAAGAAGAGATTTCACCATTGATCATTTTTAATTTTAAACCAATCCATAAATGTAACGCCCCAACCCACACATTGCATGTAATACATATTTCATACCAAAGAAATACATATTCATATACATTCGGGTCCACTAGTACAAGAAATCTA